TAGGTGAATGTACTCCAGTATCTAAATGTAGAACGTGTACGCACTGATGAAAGTTTTATTAAACTCAATAAATCCAGGATTCACCGATCATTATGGATGGCAATATCAAGCTTAGAAGTGCATTACTATCGAAGAAACGATAATTCTCTATAAGCTGAAATATTTGAATTGACAAATTCAGTCATTAGCTTTGATAACGTATGGTGGGTGTGGTGAATGAGTCAGTCAGGAACTCTGCAGTTTCATTTCTTTATCAAGTGTTTCTTTCTATTCTTTGCTATTATTATTATCATTATTATCATTTATTATTTTTCCATTGGGCTCCTAGTGGAATATAGACCTTCAGTAGCACGTCTCCATTTCACACTCTCCTCTGCAGTCTTTTCAATCTAACGCCACGACTGCCTGCTCAGGAGCTTCCATTTCTTCCTCACATCATCTCCTCCATGTCACCCTCACCTCGGACACCCAAATCATCGTTTCCCAGCCGAGTTCCACTCGACGACCTGGCCTGGTCTGGTCTGGTCTAGCCTGATGCGTGATGTCCCCAATCGGCCTTCTCAGTCCATGCCCAATCCATCTCCACCTTCTTCTCTATACTTGTTGAGTGATAGGTTGTTGGTTGGTTCGTTGCCATTCCAGAGTTCCTTGTTGCTTATTCTTTCTCGCCTTCTCATCTGATCTTCAGTATCGAGTGGGCGTAGGTGGCAGCTGTTGATGAGTGTCTGTAGTTTGTTGGAAGTGCTTTTCATGACACGTCAAGTCTCCGAACCGTCAGATCGAAGCACTGACTTGACTGGTATTGGTGTTGAAAATCCGGATCTCGTTGTTTGTGCTGAGTAGAGTGCAGTAGATCTCCACACTGATTTCAGACTTATGAAAGTCTGTCTTGCTGTCTTTCCGATAGTGGTTGGTTTTGATATCCTCGTTGTGCCACCACCTGTAGTTGAAACGATACTGCCCTGTCTAGGTAGGTGTAGATGTAGGTGAAAGAGACTACTTCCTTTAAGTTTCTCCCGTTAAAATCAGTCAGTCCCCAAATGGCTTAAAAATTGAATCTTCATAATTTTGAAATTAAAGTAGTACTGGACGGTTTTATTATAAACCTACATTTCAAGCCTTCTTACAACTTTGTAATGAATTGTGCATCTTCATTTTTGAAGTATATCAACCCGCTATCTATCTCACTAACTCACTGTCATTAGCTCATTAAGAGCTGAGAAGAATTCGGTAAATTTCAATGCATAGTGCAAAATGTATTACTACTATTCTATTCACTTTCTCCTTGTCTATCGTAACAAAGTGGTCTACTTAAATTTTATCAAATTCTTCCCTTTTAATTTGTTTGATCTTGCAAATGTCTTGTAAACGCATTATGTAATCTTACACATTTCAAAAATGTTTTCTTTTTTCAAGGTAAGAAGAAAACAAAGGAAAAACATTCCAGTGGTTGGAAATGGATTTGTAAATGCTCAAAAGCACACTACATTACTATTTCTTAGGATATCTACATGTTATCGGATTGTGAATTTCTGCACTGGCTGGCTGACTGAACTGTCATCATCAAAATTATATTGAATTTTGTGTGAATTTCCAAATCGAGAACAGATGCTTATGTAACACTAGCCACCCGTTTAACATATCCCATGCTGAAAATTCTATGCTGTATTATACATGTTATTTCGAATAAAGCCATTATTATTATCACTATTATTATTATAGTAATGATGGATAGTGGCTAGCAGTGGAATCCAGGATGTGCATTTCCTCCTATTTGCGACTCATCAGCTGAATGTACCTGCTTCCCAGTGAGTGATGTTGTTCCAACCGGGATTCGAACTCGGGAGCGATCGCTTCAAACTCGAATAAGCATCAGTTCAATTGAATTTTGAGGGAGTTGTGGAGATTTGGAAATATTTCAAGTTGTTATTCATTGTAGACTGACATCAGTTGGTTGGGGAACAAAGGAAACCTGGAAGCACTGGACAAATGTTTCGTCCCACAAGTATGGGACTCTTCAGCAGTGGATTCAAAAACAAATGGAATGTGAAATAGTGATAAACGCTGATGGAAGGTGACCCACTTCATCTATAGCTAGACATATCATAGAAAGTGGATTTGTTAAAATATCCCATATTGAAAATTCTATATTGTATCATACATGTTGTTTGGAATAAAGTGATTATTATTATTATTATTACTGCTAAATATTTGAAATTATTATTCCGTGTTATAACAGAGAATATGTTTACCCATTATTAATTCATAAAGTTTGCTAAGTATTGCAGATGCTCAGAATTTCGAGTTGTACGGAATCAACTGTAGTGGTTATAAGTTATTTCTGTGTATTTCATGAATTAACGATCTCATTCATCAGTCTATTTTATTGACTATATTTTGTCTGTCCTTTGAAGTTTCTGTAACAGGTTGGATTTGTTCTGTGAGGTAGGGTTACTAGCCCTATGTTCAACCATCCCTCTTTACCCGGGCTTAGGACTGGCTAGTAACTAGTGAACTAGTTAACCAACAACAACTATAAGTTCCAATCACAATCAACAGGAAAAACTTAAAGAAAGTAGTCTCTTTCACCTATCTAGGCAGCACTGTTTCAACTATAGATGGCACAGATGAAGACGTCAAAGCCAAGATCAAAAACACAACAAGACAGACTTTCACGAATCTGAAACCTGTGTGGAGATCTCCCGTGCTCAGCATATGGAACAAGATCCAGATTTTTGACACCAATATCAGTCAAGTCAGTGCTTCGATGTGAAGGTTCAGAGACTTGGCGTGTCACGAAAACCACTTCCAACAAACGACAGACATTCATGAACAACTGCCACCTACGCTCATTCAATACTGAAGATCAGATGAGAAGGCGAGAAAGAATAAGCAACAAGGAACTCTGGAATGGCAACGAACCAACCACGAACTTATCACCCAACAAGTATAGAGAAGAAGGTGGAGATGGATTGGGCATGGACTGAGAAGGCCGATTGGGGACATCACGCATCAGGCTAGACCAGACCAGACCAGGCCAGGTCGTCTAGTGGAATCGAGATGGGAAAGGATGAGTTGGGTGTCTGAGGTGAAGGTGACATTGAGGAGATGATGTGAGGAAGAAATGGAAGCTCCTGAGCAGGCAGTCGTGGCGTTAGATTGAAAAGACTGCAGAGGAGAGTGTGAAATGGAGACGTGCTACTGAAGGTCTATATTCCACTAGGAGCCCAATGGAAAATTAATAAATAATAATATTAATCAGTCTGTTTACCTGAAAAATAGCTGGGCGATATGTAAACTTTCAATACGTTAGATAACACTTTTTCATATGGCTAATTTTTTGATAGTTGAATTGTTATCATTACTCGAAATTGTCCAACAGAAAAAGGAAACCTATGATTTCTTGTTTATTCTACTGTATTAATTTTAAAAGGTTTGAAATGTTCTTCATTTTCTAATGATAAACACTATTTAGTGAACTAGAAGTGAAATCAATCAAAGCACACATAAGTTTGTTATTACATCTCAAAGTGATCGGCAGAATTTAATCCTCAGTAACATGAAATCATTTCTTCTTCAGTGACCAATCAGTGTACTTTTTTTTACATCAATTACAAAATAAGACAAGATAACAAAGATTTTTGAAAATTTAACTTTTTATCTAATTGAAAAGTAAATAATTAACTTACTTGAAGACGAAGATTATCTGAAACATGTCGTGATGTATTAGCGCTATACATTTCGAACAATCTGATCCCCTATACATGGACTTGTCGAACTATTTATATGAAAATTTTACGAAAAGGTCAATGAAGTTGATAGGAAACATAAGAATAGGAAGGGATAGAAAAGGAATAACAACTTGAAATATTTCCAAATCTCTACAACCCCCTCAAAATTTAATGGAACAGGTGCTCATTGGTGACTAGCTTCGAGAAGTATTCCCGAAGTTCCAATGACAAGTCGTGACCGGTGGAGTCAAAGCCTGATGGCCGTGAGGACAAATACTCAACGATGACATTGGGTGGCGGTTGCGCTATATCGTGAGCTAACAGAAGTTGGAAATATGGAGCATTGGATTCTGACCCAATGGCTCAATGGTAACGCGCCGGCCGCGGGACCTGAAGGTCGCGGGTTCGATCCCTGCTGGTGTGGGGTCGTGGGTGCGCACTGCTGAGGGGTCCCATACTAGGACGAAACAGCTGTCCAGTGCTCCCAGGTTTCCTTTGTTCCTCCAACTGATGTCAGTCTTCGATGAATAACAACTTGAAAAGGAAAACCTTATTCTTGGTATGAAAATTAAAATCAATACTACCAAGATAGGTTCAACGTGAGTACAAATTGTTTTTGTATACATAAAGGGGGTTTAAATTGACGGATGGCAAGAGCTTCAATAAATTTAAGCACTCTGCTCTGACCACTTTTATGTAGTACTTTAAAGGCTGTTTTCATGTCTATCCTATGGTTAGTTTCTAGTATACGTTTAGCCATAGACGAAGATGGATGTTTATCACCTGCACTTATCGGATCTGTTGAGGTCATTTGTTTTTGTAGCCAGTTAGGTACATGTTCAGCCTCCCTTAACTGCATATCACGATTACTCCTCCCTATATATGTATGTCCACATATACATGTAAATTGATAAACACAGTGGGATGTGATGTAATCGTTTATATGTTGTTTCGGTTTGTGTTGTAACATGGACTTGGTCTTCTCTACAATGATGACCTAAGCTGCATATGGCCGATTTAAGTCTTTTCCTCACCACAAAGCTATTTTCATACGAAAGAATAAGGTTTTCCTTTTTTTCTATCCCTTCCTATTAACTTCATCGACCTTTTTCGTAAATTTTCATATAAATAGTTCGACAAGTCCATGTATGGGGGTTCAGATTGTTCGAAATGTATAGCGCTAATACATCACGACATGTCTCAGATAATCATCGTCTTCTCATAACGCTGTTTAAATTTATCAAAGGGACCAATTGCTTTAAATCTTACTTGAATTGTACTCATTCGACATGCATGCTCTGAGTAAGCATAAACTTGTGAACCATATAGATTAATTTTTGTTGGTGTATCTGGAGAACAACGTCCATATGGTGGTGTTTTTTGTGTATGTTTAATAGTTCTAACTTTAATTTCTGTTAAACTACCAGGTTGAATATTAATACCTTCTTGATTAATATCTGGATAAGTCTCTGCATTGTGTACTGTAACCACAGCTCCACTTAATTGAGATTTTATTTCTGAACTAAAACAATCTGCACATGATGTAACATTCATTGATTCATCCAAGTAAACAAATAATTCAATTGTTCTCACATGATTACGATAAACTTCATGTATATCATATGTATAACAGTTTAAGTATTGTGCATGGATAAAACGACGCCATCTACCCACTTGACCACATTCATTCATAACACGTTTGCTACCCTCTGCATGAATTACCTAGGAGAAAATTAGAAAAGATTAGGAATGATATATGTAAATAAGATATTTTGTTGTTATCCTACTCAAATCTATGTAACATTTGGAAAAAATTGTAACAATTCATAATGAAAGTGAAAAATTTATTATCACTGTTTCAAAGTCATTTATGTTTAATAATATTATTGTAAGAAAAACCAATTGATGCAGTTCACTGACTAGGCGAAAACGCCTCAGAAAGTGTTTTATTTGAATGATTTATTCCTATCTTATCATCATCATGAACAACAACAACAAGCTCTAATCACCATTAACAGGAGAAACTTAAAGGAAATAGCCTCTTTCACCTACCTAGGCAAGGCAGCACTGTTTCAACTACAGGTGGCGTCACACACGAGGATGTCAAAACCAGGATCGGAAAAGCGAGACAGACTTTCATTAATCTGAAACCTATGTGGAGATCTGCACTCAGCATGTGGAACAATAGCCGGATTTTCAACACCAACGTCAAGTCAGTCCTTCTTTATGGTTCAGAGACTTGGCGCGTTACGAAAAACACTTCCAACAAACTACAGACACTCATCAACAGCTGCCACCTACGCTCACTCAATACTGAAGATCAGATGAGATGGCCAGAAAGAATAAGCAACAAGGAACTCTGGAATGACAACGAAACAACCAACAACCTATCACTCAACAAGTGTAGAGAAGAAGGTGGAGATGGATTGGGCATGGACTGAGAAGGCCGATTGGGGACATCACGTATCAGGCTAAGCCAGGTCGTCGAGTGGAACTCGGCTGGGAAACGATGATTTGGGTGTCCGAGGTGAGGGTGACATTGAGGAGATGATGTGAGGAAGAAATGAGAGCTTGTGGGCATTCGTGGTGGCAGGTTTAAAAGATTGCATAGAACGGAGTGGGATTGAGGCTTTTTGCTGAAGGTCTATGTTCCATTAGGAACTCAAGGAATAAATATAAATAATTATATCATCAGTTACTTAAGTTTAACTCTAAAGATGAAAACTCTTCAGTGATATAATTCCCGCAGTATTTATCATATGAGTGATTTAAAGATGTAGGTGGAAATCTTCTGAAATAGCGTTGATTATTTATACTGGGTAATTATTGAAAGTGAAATGAAAATCTAGACCATGGCCGGATTCAAACCAACTGCCACCGGGTTTCCCTCCCAATCCACTATCAACTGAGCTACGAGGTTCAACTGCTGAGCAGATTTTTATTTCACTTTAATCATGAATTATTATGTGAAATATTTGCCTTACTATGTTAAACTGTACCGTAAGCATATAGAACAATTAGTATCACATGAATATCACTACTCAGCATAGAATAAAATGAACATTGAGTATATTCATAGGTTCATAATACTTTTATTACCCTTGTTAAGACGTTCAGTTTAATGAAGATGAATTGTACATTTCTAAGTGCCATTGGATTAGGTGTGATTCGATTATGATAAAAAATAATCAGCTTCACTCATTTCAAAGTGTGGTGATATAGTTTTCATACAATGGTCACGATTCAGTAGCGCATCGCCATTTCACTCTGTTCTCCGCAGTCTTCTTAACTTGGCTCCACCACTTCCCATAAGCTTTCATTTCTTCCTCACCCTCGAAAATCCAACTCAACATTTCTCATTTGGATTCCACTCGACGGCCTGGCCTAATGCGTAATGTCAATGGTCATGATTGAGTAACATCAATCAAAAGGAGAGAAGTATCATCTAGTGTATGTTATGCACTCAAAGGAATCTTATAAAGAAAAATTTAGGTGCCAACTAAAGACAGGTAATGATATAAGGTGATTTTTCTGGATATGTAGTTCCGGTTTTTTATCTTTATAGTTGTGAAGTATGTTTATCATTCATCTACTCATGCAAATGTTTAACTTTGGCTATTGTCTTCAGTTGGTTTCATAAGTATCCAAACATCAATGCTTGTGTAACCTGGTCATGATTCAATGTACCAAATTGATAGCCTGGAAATAGTCAGTTTGTATTGTACCACAAGACAATCTTTCTTTCATATTTAATTATCAACATCATTCGCTTACACTTGGGCCAATTCGCTAAGTGTAATATCGACAGATATTAGGGCTATTTAATCTTATTTTGAAGTTACAGATCTTTTCGATAAATAACTACCATTTGTTCAACCCTGAAAATGCTCCAAGTAATATGTGTGTAGAAACCATCCAGTTCTATTCAGATATTTCTTTGACTTCGATTAGTTGACATCCATAATACAAAGATGGTAATTTGTTGTTTATGCTTTCCGTGTTTATTGGTTTACGCTAATGAATCCCCTGTTCGGACCTGGAATCACTGAATTTTATCTGTTCAACAGCATATTATGAAACGCTTACTGATTAGAAGTGAAGTTTGTGTGGTGGTACATAAACTTGTACCGAGTTGATTTGAATTGTTAATACTGTCGGTCTGAGTAGTATGAAAACGTATATGCCACCTGGTTTAGGTATTCAAGAGAATAGGAATCAAGGGTTGAGAACTCTTGGTGACATGGTTGAAAATCATTCACCATAGTGTAGATGTATTCACCCTTTGAAGTCTTCAAAGGCTTGAATACCTTCACTAACATATATCTTCAAACTGTTTATTTTTTCTTACACCTTTCTCTACTTCTTTACGAGTCTTTTTCATCCACTAATTCCCTGAATGCTACTGCAAGGTGTGGCAAATTGAATTGGTGCACTTTTGTGCAGCGTTTTACGTCAAGTTTTCTGTCTATCTAAGAATTATTTTTATCTGTCGACTAATTCACTTACTCGAGAAGTTGCTTCAGCTCGGACACAGAAGACCAGTTTGACATTCTCCAACTTGCATCACTTGTGGTACCAACTGGCAAGGTATCCGACTATGTATCAAGCGATGAGTATACTGCACTGCAGTCCGTTCTGATCTGCTATACAGCTGTAAGACATTGCCGTTAAAAGTAGAAGACATGAAACGATTACGGGGTTATGATAACATGTACCTTCGTAGTATTGCTCACGTTTGACGGAATCACTGTGTAAGCAATGTAGAGGTCAGGTGAAGGGTACTAAGCAAGTCGATGGATGAGGTTGTGAACCTTCTTCATGTAGGATGGCTTTGACATATAATATGCCTACCTAGCAACAGCCTACCTCAACGTGCCATGCTGAGGAAAGTTGGATTGTGTTGCATGCAGGTTCATTCAGGTGACTAGACCTAGAAGTGTCTTAAGTCGATAAGTTTCTGATTGTTAGTCTGAGCCACATGTGATGATCCAAACTATCTAGTTAGGGTCTCCAAGACGAAAGGAACCAGCCGTTGAGGACTCTTGGTGACATAGCGGAAAATTGGTCACAGTGGTCCAGATGCATTCGCTCGCTGATATCTTCAAAAGCTTGTACAGTTTCATTAACCTTTATCTTCAAACTGTTAATTCTGTCACACTACTTTATCTTGATCAGAATTTCTTAGTTTTTTTAGTCAACTGTTTCTCAACCCTGCTGAGTAAGCAAAACATTTCCGCTTTGATTTTGTGTTTAATTAATTTATGTGAATGACTGAATTGAAGTCATTGAATTTATTTGCCTAGCTTCTGTTTTGCATTCAATCTAAATCTATGATCTTGTAACCGGACTAAAAAAAGTCCTAGGAAGAAATTCAGCGAAGCAACTCTTTTCAACGAATTTCTTTTCAAGCTGTATTTATTATTATTATTATTAGTCCCTTGGGTTCCCAATGGAACATAGGGCTTCAGTAGCACGTCTCCAGTGACCTCTGTTCTCTGAGATCTTTTGAACCTGGTTCCATGACAGCCCACAAGCTCTCATTTCCTCCTCGCACGATCTCCTCCATGTCACTCTCGACTCGGACGCCCAACTCGTCGCTTCCCATTGGGATTCCACTCGAGGGACTGGCCTGACGCGTGATGTCCCCAGTCGGCCTTCTCAGTGCATGCCCAATCCATCTCCACTTCCTTCTGCATATAAACCTCTGCATAAACCTCACCAGGTTAACTAGTTCACTAGTTACTAGCCGGTCCTAAGCCCAGGTAAAGAGGGAAGGTTGGGCATAGGGCTAGCAACCCTACGCCGTAAAACAAATCTTACCGCTAAAGAAACTTCAAAGCACAAACACAACATAAAAAATAAAAACAAAATTTTCAAGCTGTACATTCGTATATGTATGGTATTTGAAAAAATTATATCCCGTGAGGAAAACTAAACACTATGTGGTGATGACAATAATAATAGAGCTGATGATGACATAGGCGTTTGTGATTATAATAACAAGTGAAGTGCGAATGATAACAAATAGATTATGTAATATATGGAATGGTTCATAGAAGGTGTATAACTCAGAAGGGGGTGAAAAAAATTATGGAAAATGGTAAATCAATTAAGTATTATGTAATGGCATTAGACAAGTTGGACAAGATGAAGTCAATGTTTTCTAAAAGGATTAAGACAATTAAGTGAAACACCACTGGAAACTAGTTAAAGTGAAGGCGATTATAATAACAATAATAGTGATAAAGGAAGGATACAAAGGTTAAATTAACAAAGTGGGAGAAGGAGCTAATGGGGTGGGAAAATGTTATGGCCATGATAAAGACAGTGACTGCACATACTTCTTTTGTACACACACAGATCAGGTCTTAGTTCATGAATAGCTAAAGCCTCCGCTGTTTTAAGGAGTTGACAACGAAGAGAATTCGCCCAAACCTCCCACGTTCACTCAAGGCTAACGTTACAAGCATAAAAACTGTTGGCCCATTGTATACGGATTACAACTAATAACACATGTAATCTTCCAGTTATATCTCAAAGTAGTTACATAACTGAGTTGTTATCGTGGTTACTTACTATATTTTTCTTCAGTGTATACCGGTCCCGTGCTTTTCCCCATCTTGTTTGACTCCTATCTCTGTAGTCCCCAATTTTCCCTACCAGGTAATATACACTAAAGCAAGTTATAAATTATTACCTAGTGACTAAGTGTTAACCAGCTT